AATTCTCTGTTCCATTTTTTTATCAAAACATATGTCTTTGAGCTCTTCCAATACTTGAAAGTCAAGTGATGTTGGGAGCTTGTGTTACAATCGTAGATTGTAACTGCAGCTCCCTCTTGGCTTTCAACTCGATTAATAAGTCGAGCACTCCAGTAGGGCAGGAGACTTTTCTTGACCATATGTGTGCTCAGCAGCAGCCTGCTGCTGGTCTTGCTCACATTTTGTCCAACATCGCTTGTGGTCAGCGTCTTTCTAATCTCCCAAACATTGCGAAATGGGCTCTGGTTTGCTGGCACCCTCCACATGCCATGAAGTATCTGATTGTAGCTGCAAACTGTGAGCAGCCTGGAAATCTGGGCAGCCACTGCTCTTCTTTTCAGCTCTTCTTCTATGACATTCTGCATTATTGTACAGATGTTTTCATGTGCTGGGGTAGAAGAAGCTGAGCCTTCTTCCTCTTCTGTTCTGTTCAGTGTGGTCCAAGATGGATCACATAAAGCCAATGTTGTTGAAACTTGGTCTTCATCTTGGTCTTGAAATTGGTCTTGAACTTGGTCTTGTAGTTGTGGCATGGGGGTGGCAAGGGTTAAGTTTGTAGAGAGTTGCACTGCTTCCATTGCTGAAACTGAGAGAAACAACAAGGGTTTATAATTGGCTATTGTTTTTGGGGGAAGACAAACAAACACCTGAGGGCTTCATTTCGATCAGCGGGTAGGTTGTGTGTGTGAGAGAGAAATATATAAACACCTTAATATGTACCATATTGTATTATAGCAAATTTTTTTTTTTACCAAAACAAAAACTATTGACAACTACACACAAGTTTAAAAGAAGAACATAAATTAAAACTCAAGATTAAAATAACTGTAAATATATATTTCTAACAATCCACTTTTATTGTGGGATATTTGAGGGACACCTTGTAGGATTCGTTTCAACGATTTGAATTGTCCATTAAATCTTCATTCAAATATCGTTTTTGCAAAAAAATAGCAAAAATTGGAAGCCATTAAGATATCTAGTTGTAATCAACAGAATCGACGATCCCTGTGGTTCAAGAAAACACTAAAATTAAAACTATCGATTGAGTGGTGAAATGATTTCAGATTAAAGTGATTTTTTTGTAGGGATGATCTTTGGAGGAATATCTAAAACGTGGATGGTTTAGATTGTGAAAATACAATGTAGATAGGCCCCATAAGGGTGTCTCTCAAATAAGCTTATTTGAGGGATCCCTCAACTAAAGTTCTCTAATATTTCTAATATTTTTATTTTAGTAAATGTGTAAGCAGAGACGAACTATCTTTTAGTCTAGGGGTATTTCTTTTTTCAATGTTGGACATTGATAATAGAACAGGGCTAAACTTTGAGCAAGAGCTATATTCCTATACCCATCCATACGAGATGAGCCCTGACCCATGGGGAGAACAAGGGTTGCGGTGGCGAAGGGAGAGGGTCGTATGGTTGGGCTCGGCTTGCGAGATCTAGAGAGAAGGTAGACACGTGTGGGCCATAGCGGTTGGAACCGGGGCTAAAAGAGTAGATCAAAAAATGTGTGTGAGAGAGAGAGATTAGGTTAAAAAATGTGGGTCATTTAGGAGAAAGAGATTTGGGTGCAAAAAAATTGTGCAATGTGAACGATAATAATTTTGAAACAAGCGAATAAGAAGCCGACACTTGTGTTTATTGCCAACATAGCGACTTTTTAAATCAGTTTTGGCGGTCTATTTCAATTTTGAATATCAAATCTTAAAAAAAATTAAAAATTGAACCAAATGAGACCAGTCATCTGGTTCGGTCTATTTAGCTATTTCTTTTTCTCAGTAAAACCCAAAGCTACTCTTTCGTGTTCAAGAATCAAAATGTGAAGAGGTTAATTATGGACAAGGAGAACAAAATCAAAACAATACTACTCTTTGTAAGGAAAAAAAATCTATATGTATTATAGTTCTACTACGCCATCAAGCTAATGTGATATTTACTAAAATGATGCTATTTGTTTAAATTTTAGAATAAATTAATAACACGAAAAAGTTACCAACATACCTGGATTGTCGAGAAATGAGATATGGTGCGTCGCCGGAGAAGAGAAAGGAAAGTAATAAAAGGGAGAAGTTTGGGTGCGTCACGAACCAGAGATATATGATCAGAAAGAATACAAATACTTGAATTTCCAAAAAAAAAAATAAGCAAATGAAAATAAAAAACAAGAGAAGAGGGATTTTTTTATATAAAAAAACCTAAGAATTATAGAATATTATGTAACTGGCAACCGGAGCACATAGACATGCTATTATGGTGAGACTCTGTGATTCTTGTGGAGGTTACTATAGATATACTGAAAATTCACATAAGGAAACAAACTTTGGAAATCTCTGGATAGAAGCTGACGTGTGATTCACTTCTCTTTAAGTGAAACGAATTTCCAAGCAAAAAAAGAGTGAAATGAATTCTGTAACGGCCTGTTTGGATAATAAAACCTTGGAATTGGGGTGTCAAATCCAAACCTCAGTTGAGGTCATTTCCGTCAAAGCCTATTCGGTGTTGTGGCCCTAAATTTCGAATTTATTGAAAGAGGTCTTGAGTTCAATTTTCATAAATGACAATTGTTTTATATCTTTATAATTGCAATGTTATAAAATATTTTGAAGGAAAAAAAGAAAGAAAGCAACAACCGTGACCGTGACTCTGACCATCGCCACCAACTTCCCAACAACATCACCGCCACCTTACCACCAACACGCCGCCGCCAAGCCTCCGGCCATCACAACATCATCACATCTGTACTCCCACCACCAACAGCATCACTCTTGTTGATGTTGCCTCCCCCACCACTACTTCTGCACACACCACTCATCTACATGACATTTGTTTTATTCAGATTCAATCCCATCTTTAATATGCTATCATTTAGAATTTTTTTTAGTACTCATAAAATTCTTTGTTTTTCTTGACAAAATGTTGGATTTGTTATTAAAAGACGGACTACAGATACGTGTGAATATCACGGTTGAAAACATGTTAATAACAAAACGTACCAACACATCATCGATACGTTATTAACAACATGAATTCAAAATTCATCCGTCAAACTCCCTACCCATTACTAAGTTAAAAATCTCATTTCATAAAACAATTTTGAAATTCTCAATTTAGATTACAATTGACATGTTTGACAAAATAATGTTACCTGTGACATTGCACAAAGCCAAAGGTTCGAAGCAAACGATAGGGCTATGGATAAACCAAAAATAAGGATCTCAACAAAAGAAAGGAAAAACACAATTGCGTAAAGCATGGTGATAATGGAATAATATTTGAGTAAAGCTGCCGTTAAAAACTATAATACACACCAAAAAATCAAATACTCCTCACCACACGCTACACCCCATACACCTTCACCTGCAACCGTTCCTAGCCATCAACAACACCCACTGAGGTCATCACTTCCAAATCGATCGGTCACTACCAACGGTACCACGTCATTACCATATATCGCGATGCGCCCTAAACGTCCTTATTTATTAATTAACACTTTAATTTATTTTATTTCTGAGACACTTAACGCACAGACAAAAAACTCTTCTCACTCTAAAAACTCTCTTCCTTGCTCGGTGTCTTTTCAGCTTCTTCGCTTCGCCGTGTTGCGGAGGACAGATAGGCAGACTAACGCTGAGTTTCGAGCTTTTTCTCTAAGCGTCGTCATTTCGGCCTCTGCGTACACCACCACACTGTAAGTGATTCATTGTTAGGGTTTTTGCTTCGGTGCCTTGAACTCTACTGTTGAGCTGCAAAGAATTGAATGATTCGGAAGGTTTTTTTTTTTTTTTTTTTTCATTTTATGTCGTGAATTTATGGGCCTGTGTCGTTTTTTTAGCTCGCGTTGTCTCCGCCATTGGGTTTGAGTAGCTTAAGCTCTGCTTTTTATGGTTTTGTTTAACGAGTCGTAATTTCGAAATTGCTAGAAGTTAATGTTGTTTTTTTTTTTTTTTGGGGGGAGAGAGTTTTTTTTCACTTGCTAATTTCGTTTGGGTTTGAATATTTTTAAGTTATGCTATTGAATTTGTTGAAATGGGTGATTGAATTGCGTAGATCTGAGCTGAGCAAGTGTGTTTTGGGTTCTTAAGCGTTTTGAGTGTGCTGTTGACATGTGATCGTTAGTATATTATTGATAGCCTCTGTTTGCCCCAAAACTTTACAAATAAAGGTTTAGAAACAAGTCTGTAATGGCAAATTCAGAAATGTGGGAAAACTGTAGCATTTCTTTATTTAGAAATAAAGCTCTTCAAACAAAAATGTAATGGCTTTAGAGTTTGTTGATTTTTTTTTCCTTTTGCAATTGGAAAGGCAACTTTTTTTTCTTTGGGTCTGGAAAAAGCCAACATTTATAATTGGAATGTGTTATTTTGACAGTAGTTCGTGAATCTGGATTATCATTCTTTATGACTTTGGCAGCTACTGTTCATTCAAATTTATATTTTTATGAGAGATACATTTATGCAAAGTGTTTGTCTATTGTATTTGTTCTTGGCAAGAGCTAATGAAAAAACTATTCTAATATTTATACAGGTCCTTATTGAGTACCATTTCTATTGAGCAGCTCATTTAGGATCCCTTCCTAAATGAGTTAAGGCTATTTGCTGAGTTTTGTTATTCGGAGTCTCCATAGATATGAGCTCTGGATTACTTCTCATTGTTATGAATAGATGAGGTGCATACCAGGTCATTAAGTTGGTCTAAATGTGATAGCTTATCTATAATCAAGGAGAGTAATTTATCTCAGGATTTGCCTACTGTAATTTGTTCATTACATAAGCATGCCTTCTTGGTGGAGGAAGTCTTCATCCAAAGAAGTAAAGAAGAAAGCAAATAAGGAGAGTTTC